AGATGACATGATTGTTTATATAGAAAATCTGAAGGAATTTACACACACACACACACACACACACACACACACACACACACAACACACACACCCCAGTAAAAATTAATAAGTGAGCTTAACAAGAACACAGGATTAAAATGAACACACAAAAATAATAGTAAATACTTGTGATGAACAATTGAAAATCAAATTTTTAAACAAATGCCATTTATAGTAGCTCCCTCCAAAATGAAATACTTAGGTATCAACCTCACAAAACGTACCAGTTCTGTATACTGAAAACTATAAAATGCTCATAAAAGAAATCAGATGAGACCTAAATAAGTAGAGAGACATATCATGTTGGTGGATTGGAAGACTCAACATAGTAAAGATGTCAGTTCTTTCTAAGCTAATCCACAAATTTAACGCAATACCAATAAAAAAAATCAGCAGTATTTTTCTGTGGATTTAGAAACCTGATACTAAAATTTATATAGAAAGGCAAAGAAACTAGAATATCCAAAACAATTTGAAAATGAAGTTGGAGGAATCATACAAGCTCTTTTAAGACTTACTATAAAGCTGTGAAAAGTGTGTTATTGCTGAAGGGATATACACATAGATCAATGGAACAGAATAGAGAGTCCATAAATAGATCCAGAGAAATATGGCCAATTCATTTTTGACAAAGGTGCAAAGACAATTCAGTGAAGAAAGGATAATCCGTTCAGCAAATGGTGTTGGAATAATTAAACTCTAAATGCAAAAAAACCAAAAAAGTCTCCACCTAACCCTCACACTTTATACAAAAAGGAACCCAAAGTGGTATAGATCTACATGTTAAACATAAAAGTTTTAGAAAACATTGGAGAAAATCTTCATGACATAGGCTTAGGCTAAGAGTTCTTAGATCTGACATCAAAAGTACAATCCATTAAAAAAATTGAAAATATTTCATCAAAATTTTTGCTCTGCAAAGTAGCAGCAAAAAAAATATATGTAGATATGATAACATTTTTGTAAAACAAACCAAACCTCATAAATATTTACACAAAAAATTTGAAGTTGTCATCCTTGGGGAGTTGGTGCCAGGAGGTTGGTGTAAACTTGCTTTTCACCCTGTACCCTCCTGTGGTGATTGAATTTTTATGAATATCTCCTACATTTTTTTTTCTTCAAGTTTGTAGCAGAGGATAGTTTTATTAGAGCAGAAAGCTACAGCTCTCGAAACGAGAGGGGGTCCCACCCAGGGTGCCCTTCTCTTACAAGGTCCCAAACCTCCCCACCATTGGTAGCTTTTAAATGATATTGGGCAGTAGTTTGCCTCAAAAGCTGTGGGGAGGTGAGGTTGGATTTCCCGGATTCCTTCCAATTCTAAAATCCTAGGATTTTATTATTAGATCCAACATAAGATAATCAAAATTCCCTAAGTGAGAAAATGTTGGCCATATTTAATTTAATTTCTGAATCACCAAAATAAAATACTCAAAGCTCCAATGTCTCACAAGTGCCTACTAATGGACTCAAATCTTGATGTACGAGTATGCTGCTTATCATTTGCCACGAGTAACTTGATGTCCAAGTGACTAGTAGCCACTTTCACGTGTATTTTCTTAAACAGCTTTAAGTGGGTTTCCTTCATTTGCAGAACAGAATAGACCAGAGTCCGTTAATTGGGTCAGAGTCCAGAACGCATAGTCTTCTCATGGAATCTGCTTTTTCAGCCTTACAAGCCTTAACTTGCATTAATTTTACCAGCAAACTACAGTAAGTCTCTGAGCTAATCTAGTGGAGTAAAAATCCAAAACTAACTAATGCACCTAACTGAAAATAAGGCATTAATTCTCATAATGAAATGTTAGCAGTGGTGAATTTACTGCACAATTAATGAAATTTAAGCATCAGGGACCTTTATCCATGGAGACCCTTCCGAGGGCCTGGTGAGACCCTAGAAATGTGTTCACATTTCTGTAGATTTGAAAAAGTGAGATATTTTAACCAAACACTCTCTTTCTACTTTGACTTTCCCTCCATCATGCCCACTCATCATTTCTTCTTGATGAGTGACAGCAGAGAGGCTATGGACATTTTGGGGATTTGATTAAGGGGAAATAGCACTGAGGATAGGTTTTGTTTGAGTTTAATGGGTATTGTGTTTGTGGTTTGCAGCAACTCTGTGTATAACTATTGGTGGCCATACTGTCATAGGAGTGGCTTTAGGGATACCCCTCTAGCTCACTATGCCAATTCACCTGCCGAGGGAGCATGAAGAGCCATACCAGAGGTGGCGTCTCACAGTATACATGTGCCCAGTGGGCTCTCATCCTGGAAGTATAGGGTGATGGAGGGGCAACAAGTTTTGAAATGTACAGAATCAAAAAACGCTGTGTGTGGAAAAGTTCTTCCAAATTTTGCATGTTATAAATGAAATAAACTAGAAAGGAGTTTTCGCAAATTTGGCAATGCTACTTAAAAATTTAGACATTATCAATAACGAGTTGTACAACTGAAACTTTTCTAATTGACCAGTTATAAAAAACAAATTTTGACTAAACATGCTAGAGGAAAGACAGAATTGTTTTTTTATTCTTCCTACAGGAAATGATATTTATAAAATTATTGTTAATGAGGAGGCAGTCAAAGAATATGCACCCAGAAAGCACAGGTGACAAGAATTATAGAGGCGTGCCAGGCAGTTAATTAAATTATTGCTATTTTTCTAGATTTTGTGATATTTATTGGTATTTTCCGTTTTTAAGCTTTGCAACTTGTTGTGATTTCTTCTTCTCAATCTAAGTGAATACTCACTTTCAGATCCAATTTTGTGTTGTAATTTTGTGTTCTTTTCCTTAAAGAAGACTGCCCAAATTGCATAGGTCTCAGGCCTTACAAAACATGGATCAACTCTGCGTAGGAGCTTTTAAATATTTCGGAATAAGATAAAGCTTTTCCTTTTGGTTAAGAATCTTAATAACACAGTCAAATGGGAACATGATTTACTTAGTCTAGAATCTGACCTCTGCAATGGAATTGGTAGCTCTGGGGGGTCAGAACGGAGAACGGCGAAAGGCACATACATTTATCACCAGTCACCCTGCAGGAAGGAAACCTGGGTGGAATTTGGCACTGAGGATGAATTTCTGTTCCAGAAAAGGAATCTGAAAAGGTCTGCTGAAGTGACCTGGTGGAGCTTTTATCCAATTTAAAAGAGGAAAGACTTTCAGGCTTTTCAGAGAAGTGTGAAACACTGGATTTGGGATATCTAGGTTCAATTCACCTAGTTTTGATTTCCATGCTATAAAGGACAAGTTAAGATAAGGCTGCCACAGTGGATGCCAGACAGCACTGTCCATTCTCAGCATCCCTTCCTATCCTCTGTCAGTGACTGAGTACCAGACAGCACTGATGGATGTTTTGCGAGATCCTGTAGACCCCTGACATGATCTCACAACGGTTTCTCTCTCACACAAGAGCAGATAGGATTAATACACTGGGCTCATCATTATTAAGCAAGTTAGGCTAAGGTCACTGGCCTTTCCCTGAAAAGGAGTGTACATATATGTATCTCTTTTCAACCCATTTATGAGTAATACTGCTTGACTGCTCTTTTTGTTATTTATGCCCCCATTAAAAGTCTTGTCCTTTTCTATCCCAAATAAGGCAAAAGAAACTTGTATTTCACCATGGGCCCACAATTTTGCTCCAAGAGCAGCAATAAAAAATTGTAAGGGTAACACCCCCCACTTTTGCTAGACTGGCCACCCAGTGGTCCCCATAGGAAGGGGTCACAGGTTACAGGAAAATCCATTTTGTCCTCTCTGACCCCTCAAATCATCCTAAAATGGTCTGAAACTAAGTACAATTCACATGATTGAAGACTCCTCCTTTTCAGCTGGAGTCAGGGTGGATAATAACTGGATACTACTTAGCATCACATTTGATTGGGAATAAAAACATGTGGAAGCCTTTAAGCAGTCTCTGCTGCTTGCTGTCATGGAATTTCTGTTTCGTTGTGATCCAAAGAATCAGAGTATGGTGCAGTCCTAGAAGGGCCCCATTCCTAAATTCAGCAGTTCTGACAACACTGGGCCATTGTCTGAACTATCAGGTAATTCTCTTATTTGGCTGTCCAAGGTTCTTTGGGATTTAGTGATAAAGTCTGTACTCCAGAATTAGGGTGCCTTCTACAGGAGAAAATGACAGCAAGACAGAGAGGACAGTGGCAGTTTTGACTCCAGCTTGTTTAAACAAAGGCATTTTGCAGAGAACATGAAATATTCCTGGTGTTGTGAATTCTGTGAGATTTTATCATTTGTTACATTTTTTTCCTTTGTCATTTCTGGGCAGAATGAACTTGAAGAATCAAGTAATATATCATGACCATGCATACGCGTAGATGGACATGTGGCGTGGTTTAGCAAAGCAAATAGTCCTATTTACATAGGACAGTATTCTTGTGGCTGGTTTGAGGCTGGCCCTGAATGTGTGGGTTTGGAAGGAAGCTACATTTCCAGGGAAGAGTGGCTGCCCTCCCCGCAGTTCTCCCCCAAACTCAGTATCAAATAACCAAAAAGAAGAAAAGTGAAGGATTGCTGACTCTTCTTGATGTCCATTCCCTTCTATTTGAATAAAGTTCCTAAAGTAACAGGCTGAAATGCTTTTCCTGGGAGAAATTTCTACCTTGGTTCTTCTACCCCTGAGCAGTGCTCCCCAAACCTCCCGGAACCCAGAGCTCACTCTCTTGTAATGAGACCATGAACTGCACTAGCTTTGTTTTGTGATCAGCATATTTCATAACTTCTTTATAACAGTGTCAGTTTCTGCTTTTCTCGTTGGCTGGTAAAAGCATCTGTACTTTCATCTTCTCCAAAAGAAGTACCAAGGCTGACAGTCTGTGGGGTTCCCCCCATTTGTTTGTTGGATCTCTCTCACGTTTAGTGATAACCGCCACCATGGGATTGGCACTTGGCCAGGCCTATGGAAGGACACCCTCTACCTCCGCTGTCATCTTACTCTACCTCTTTCCATGTCAGTCTTGATCTGCTCCTCAAGGTCCTCTGGGGACACGTAGAAGTCCTCTTCTGGCACCGATGACTTGGGCCGGCAGTGTCCACAGCAGCAGTTGCAACAGCAGCACAGACAACAGCAAAAATAGCAGCCAGTCAAGAGGCCAATGATGACAAACAGGGTCTGGGGAAACAGAGGCAGAGCAAAACGGGGTGAGGGGTGGTGGGGTCTTGGAGAACCCCAGAAATCAAGTGTATAGCCATGTACCCCCAGAGACCCGAACATATCGCAGCTCACCCTGCAGACCACATCGTTATCCTCATCCTTATTCCATGCAACAACTCTTCAGTTTCCTTGGAAACAAATTGTGCATGGAGTTTTTCTAACAAGTTAAACCCAGAGACAACGACTTGTAGCTACAGTAATGACGTATGGCATTATCTTCTTTATTCTTAAGCTATGGTGATCATTGTTAAGAGTAAAGCAAACAAAATAACAAACCAACAAAACCTCTACAGGTCTCGTGATCTGACCAAGGGCACTGAAGGACTGTCACCAAAAGAGCTGTTGCTAGCTCCCCTCCCCCACCCACATACTCATAGTCACCAAGCCCTGTGGAACCTCTGTCCTCAGATCTCTTGTGCCCTGCCTCTCGTGTCTGTCCTGGCTGGTCGGACTTTAGAACAGACCCACTGTCTCGGCTCTGGACACCACAGTAGCCTCCTCACTGGTTCCCCTGCCTCCATTCCTGTGTCCTAAGCAACCTGCGCATCGCTGCTGGAACTTCCTGAAGTATGTGTTCTCGCGAACCCACTCTCAGATCAGGCTGGAGCTCCTATTAGGGTATTTTGGCCTCTGCCAACCCTTCCCCTGCACCAGCCAGCCCCGTTCCTGCCACACCTGCCATGGCTTTCCTCTCCCTGTGGGTTCATCTGCCTAGACATCCCCCTCCCATTCCCTGGTCATCTCAGAAACCCCATTCCATGTTTAATGTTCATCTCAAAGATCCTCTCCCTGACGTCCTTTCTGACCCCTGTCCCCCAGAACATTTCCTCCCTCCTTTGTGCCCCAATTGTACTCCACACAAACTTCTTACCATGGTGCCTGTTTGGTTGACACTTTAGGACCTTGACTGGTTTATAGGCCTGTCTAATATTAGACTGCGAGCTTCCTGAAAGCTAGAGCTATATGCTTGTCATCTTTCAATCCCTCGACCGAAGGATTTAGTACCAGGCATGTGGTAGACACTTAATAAATACCTACTGAGTAAGTGAATTTGTAAAGTAATAGATAAACAAACGATTTGTTCCTCCTAGTGAACAGTGCCAGCATTGCCCTGCAAGCATATCCAAGGTTTGCTCACCAAGTTTGCCATAGCTAAAGATTAAAAAGAAACTCTCCTAACCCCCCTCCAGCTCAGGACTCCATCTGTCCGGCTCTGGCCCCAGTTGCGTGGTGGAGCCCACAGGTGGCTTGCTGTGAGGAAGCTTTGCTCACACCCTCACACCTATAACCTTCTGCTGTGGATACTCTACATTTTCATAGACTTCGGTAAATTACTCTGAAAACGAAACTGCAACACCCTTCTCCTCACCAACTGCCTCCAAGACCTTCCTGTACCATTGCCCAGCAAGCTTCTCCTTTCTATTCCTACTTTTGTCCTTTTTTGTTTTAACTCTGCGATTCCCATATTTTTCTCTTCTCTGAAAATTTCCTTTAGTTCATATACTGTTTTGCTCTTCGGCTATCCAAACTAGATTGTTTGTCGATTGCAGAAATAGCCTTACTTACCCTTTTCGTTGCTTAGCACAGTACTAGGCACAAGTGGGTGTCCAGTATTTTTAAAATATTTTCAATGTCATATGATTCATTCATACAATACCTACTTAATACATGATCACTGAGTGTCAAGCCACTCCAATGGGCACTGTGCAGTTAGGCTTTGGCACAAGCGGAAGGGGAAGGTAGATGGTTTTGTAGCCTATTTTTAAAGAGCCACATCAGGAATATATACATATATATCTTAAGCTACTGGACTACTATCTGCTTATCTATGAATTTTGATCCATTTTGTCAACTTCCTGGGCAAGGAAACCTATTCTAATTTTTATGCAGGCGGGCCCCCATATGCAGCCAGGTGCCAGTGTGTAAAGAATCTAGAACTCCAGATGTACCTCGCTGTAGAAAGCGTGTCATGTATGGAGGTTAGCTCCCCAAGCAAGCCCACAAAAGCCCATGTTTTTATATGAACGTTCAATCTATCATCATAAATGACCTTGTCAGTATGGACAGTCTTATTCCACGTTCCAAATCCACTTGGCAAGGACTTGCCTCCCTCCCACATCCTCAGTGATAGAGAAAGTGGGTTTTAGTGGGAATCCTGGTCATCCCCAAGAAAAAGAATTCTGGGGACTGCAGAAGGCACATGAGGCCTTTGCCTGCAGACTCTCTCTCCATGCTATGTATAAAAACATATTCTCTCTCTCCCTACAGATACAAAACTCTTAAATTTAGCAAGATTTATTTTCAGTGGAAAAAGTAACAATCAGAATACTACAGAACATAAAACCTGCCTTTTTAGAGATCTGCAGCTTTTTAAATTATTAATTACAACTAATAGAAATGTGAGTGGATATGATTTCACAAAAATGTGTGAACTGTGAACTGTTCACATGTATGTGAACTGTCCATAAAATAAGCTGATGGACTATATGTATGGTTCATATGTAAATCCATTTTTATTAGAAGAGAAGGATGTTAAAACTCATAAGCAAATACAAAGCCATCACTAAACATTTATATACTAGGGATTCCTAGGAAACCACACAAAATTTACTGTCAAAAGTCAATTCTGATTGCACTAAGTCTTTAAAAATGTTGTGTTTTTCTTGACTAGGTGTCCTGTTTTGCTTTCCCTTCCTCTCCAATTCCCTGCCCTTCATTATTTAATTCTCACCTTTTCCCGCTCATTTCCTCCTCCACTACTTCACAGCAGGCCCCACATGAGCCTATGACATAATTACCACGCATTCTCCCAAAGTGCTGTGTTTGCTGATGCAGCCTATGTTATAAATAGTAAAGTACATGGCTAAATTTGTCCTATAATAATTTATTAAACAGTCATCACACTAATAAATTATTTTGGGTTTTGAGCAATGAGTCAGTTCTTAATTAGTCACTATTGGGGGAGAAAGGGCAGTCAGAATGAACCCGAAGTTTCAAATTCAAACATAATTAATGTCTGGAAATATTAGGTCAGGCTGTAGTTTAAAATTATTTGATGAGCTAAAGCAAAAATGATCCTCAAATAATGGCTTTCGATGGAGGCAATGTCTCCTTTTATTTACAAGAGTTTAATAATCTAGTAAGGTTAGGCTTTCTTTGAGATCGATTCTAAAGGAGTGAATAATATAATGATCTAACAGGAAATTGTTTTTGAAGGAAAAAAATATGATTTACCTTTGCCCACCAACTTGACAGCATAAAGTAGGTATTAACGTTTTCATCTCCAAATTGCTCGGCCACATAGAGTCCCAGAGATCCGTACTTGTCATATATGTTCCTCTTTGACATGTCAGTAAGTATTGCGTGGGCATTGTTGATTTCTTTAAACTTTTCAGCAGCAGTTGGGTCATCTGGATTCTTGTCTGGATGATATTTCAGCGCCAATTTTCTTTAAAAGAAAAAGTGAGGAAAAGTGTTACTTGACAAGAATTACAATGACATTTTCTAAGGACACTATTATTCATTTGTGCATTCTTTGTACGTGTCAGTACTGTGAAATGATAAGTTTCACGCTAATATTGATTTAACTGAGCAAATTTTCATTAAATGTTGCCTCTTATTTCTAAAGGGCAGGCACAATAGTATTATTTCTCCCCTCACATCCTCAAACAAATTCTCAATTGTATAGTTGTTGAGTCGGAGACATTTTGCTGCTGGCACGTTTGAAGTTTATTTTCACCTAGAAGCTGATCAGTACCTCACCTCAACATGCAGCATGCATGGAGCTTTATGAGCTCTAGCAACAGGACCAGTTTACACCACAATTTCATTTAGAACTGGAAGAATTTTCCAGAATTAACAAAACTTCACACCACACATTCTAAAAGTTTAACTCAATTATTTAAAAAAAAATTCTAATTGATAACCCCTTCACAAATCTTCCACAAATTCTAATTTTTTTTTCTGAACAGATACTGTGACTTCCCTTGTATTCAAATGTATATTTTACCACTTTTCAAAGAGGTCTTTCCACTTCAATATTTCTGTAGAAATTTACTTGTGAGTACAAGGCCCTCTCCCCTCTGTAGACAATAAAGCTGCTCCTGAAGGGTGTGGGTATGTGTTGGGGGTGGGAGCGGGGGAGTTGCCTGGCAGTATTCTTTATTCTTCAGTTATAGTGAAGTATAAAAAACACCCCTGTAAAATGGATGTAAGAATTGAGCTATGATAGTCAGTTTCTGGCTGGTGGCCCTCTATACTCAGATTTAACTAATGATTAAAGCTATGTACAAAATAGAATCTGCAGTATTTTTTTTCCACTACAAAGTCAATTCATTTTATGACTCTAACTGGAAATTTCACATGGCTTATTCTCCCCACATACATAGGTATATGTAGGAATATACTTTAAGCTTCTGTTTATCAGTTTAGATGAAAGTGTTTTATTTTAATGCAATAATGAAGGTATAAGTAGAGCAGAAAAGTAAAGTATTCTTATAAATCAATCTATACAATAAATTGGAAAAAAATCACATCTATTTTAGGAATTAAAGTATTACTGGTTCAGAAGAATAATTAAGCAGCTCAGCATCAGGATGCTTAAAAAGTACCAAGATATTTAAAAGTATAAATCATGGTATATAATCTATTCTTTCAACTCAGAATAAACAAAAAGAATAAAACAATGATGGCTCATTTTAAATTTGTTTAATGAAGACGTTTTTTACCCTTGTTTTTGACAGATGTTTAGGTTATCTATAAATTCTTATAGACTCAACCATTGGAGACCTTTTTTATGTGCAGAATTTATGACAAAATCTTGTACTAAAAACACAAAATGCCTATTTTGTCATTTTTCAAAAGCTTTTATACTGTTTAATATATGCCAGCACCATTGTAAGGATGTTATAAATATTAATTCAGTATTATTTATGAGATAATAACTCTATGAGATAGGTATTATAATGATTCTATTTTACAGAGGAGGGAATTTAGCCATCAAGAGGTTCAGTAATTTGCCCAATGTCACACAACTAATAATTAGAGCCAGGCTTTGAACACAGACACTGACCCCGAGCACATGCTCTTAACCACCACTATGCTGCCTCCTATATATTTTTAAATTAAAAAAGTAAGGCAAACAGAATGTTTGTGGGCCTCTTTAAGGACTTAGGCCTTGGATCTAGGTGACATGGGAAGACGCTATTGGAGTGTTTTGAGAAGGAAAGTACTGTGGTATGACCTTAGTTTTAAGAGTGATCACTCACTCTTGGGGAGGATAAAGGCGAAAGCAAGAAGACTCTTCTAGAAGTTCATAGTGGTTCAGATCAGTGTGGTAGTGGAGGATGTGGTAAGAAGTGGTTAGATTCTGAGTCTACTTTGAAGACTAGCTGGATTGGATGTGATGTGTGAAAGAAAAAGAGGAATCGGGGATGGCACCGAAGTTTTGGCTTGAGCAAGGGGAAATTTGGAGTTAGGATTTAAGTTGGCAAGATATTTTTGGGTAGTAGGCAATGGTTTGTTAGGATTTGGAGTTCTATTTTGGACACCTTTGAGATGCCTAGTAGACTTCCAAGTGGAGATGGAGGTACAGAGATCTATAAACCTGGAGCTCAGGTGAGAAGAACTATGGAACATGTCTGTTTGGGAGTTCTCATATGGGGTCTTAGGATCCAAGTGAACAAAATATTTCAAGGAGGACAGTGGTCACCTGTGTTAAATGCCATTGACAGGTCTTGTACGATGAGAACTAAGAACTGACAACTGGGTTTAATGATATAGAAATCTTTGGTGACC